TGTGTGTGTGTGTGTGTGTGTTTGTTTGTTATAGATTGCTGAAAGCGCAGCATAAATCATATCTTGATCAGTCTGTTTGTGGTACAGCAGAACTTGTTCAGTGGTCAGATTGATGTTGTACGTATGAGAAAAGCCTGTGTTCTTATGTGTGTGGAGCGAAGGCGAACATTCACCACAATCCCACCAAAATACTTTATAATGCTTGACATCTTTTTAATATCACGGGTCCCATTCGTTTTCCCGTGAGGGTTAAATTGAATTTGGCGGCCACGAGTGTGTACACAGGAGTGTGTGTTACTTCAGCATGGCATAAAGCATGCCAGTGTGACAGAAGCTGCTAAACTTGTCTCATTATCCCATAAATATTCCCCGCCCTGCTCACGGTCACCCAGCATCCCATCCATCAATCAAAGGCTGCTGGCAGTGCCGCTCCGCCAACACATCCACTGCAACCTTCTGAGGGAGCGACACTCAGGCCCTGATACTCAGTCCATTACACGCTCCAGCCAGATCCTGGCTGATTATAAAACACTTTCAGCTTGCAGGAGACCGTCTGTTCTAATGGATCTCACTCTTCTCTTTTACCTTCAATTTAATAAACAGATGTATAATGCAGCAGATCTCATTTCGTGATAAATCTAAGGGTTTTATGGAAAATGAATTGATGTCAGGGCTGAAGTTCGGCTCAAATTTGTGGATGCCTAATTCAATTGTGTGTGTAACTTTTGATAGACTTTGTCTGTCTACTAAAACCAGCGATGATTTTTTGGCAATTTGAATATTTGTAAAGTAATTAGATAATTGTTGTTGTCATTATTTACACTATTGCATGTTAACAGCATTACATGTATGCATTTATTATTGTGCTTTACGCTTTAATATTGCATTATATTGTTAAAAAGTTTGGGATCAGTAATTGTATTTTTTTTAAATTATATTATTGGGCGTCACGGTGGCGCAACTACTACTGCTAGGATGACGACGACTACTACTACTAGTACGACGACAACTATTATGCAGGTAAACTGGCCACAGGGGTAAACTCTGGCCACCCCTGTGGCCACCCTAATATGATTTTGCTGTTGATATTATTAATTGAAATATACTCACATAAATTCCCAATATTTTAATAAATAAATAGCAGCCACTAAATTATCGTTGATTAATTGGTGCCACTGATGTAGCTGGTTCACTGCCCCTCCCCCTCCCCGATCATCATTGACAGCATGCACACATCTTCAATAGACAGCAATGGCAATTTAATATTTATCTTGAGGTACGTCAATAGAAGAAGCTGTATTAATAATGCTGTGGCTAAAAAAGGAATATGGATAAATGATATTATTAGGGTCTGTATAGTGAGTGTGTGTGTGAATACAGTAACGCCTTTTGTTCAGTTTGTTCATTTGTTTTTTATTAATTCATTCATTAATCTTCATTAATTTTAGACATGGCATATACCATATGCTGTACAATAAATGTATGTGAAAAATAACTGAAAATTAAATAAAATTTATATGAAATGTGTTTTAAACTATATAGTGATTTTTATTTGGTTTGCACATGTACTTGCTGAATTATTTCAAGGAATAAATTAATTAAATGAATTAAAACCACATTATTTCATTCACCAGAAACAAAAATATAACATTACACTGAACTCATCATATTTTATGTGCCACCCCAGGGTTTGATATGGCCTCTTCTGGCCACCCCTAAGAAAATGTTCTGGGGGCGCCACTGCTATTACGATGACTACAACGACTACTACTACGACTAATACAATGGCTACTACTATGACGACTACTACTACTACTACTGTTACTACTACTACTACTACTACTTCAATGACAATTAATTAATTAACTGAGTGTATATAATATTGTTTCATATATCAAAAACGATTTAAACTGTAGTGAGTTATTTAAGACGACGACTATTACTACTACTATGACTATTACGATGAATACTACTACAATGATGACAACTACTACTACTACTACAAGGACTACTACTACTACTACTACTACTACTTCAACGACTATTAATTAATTTATTTATTGAGTGTATATAATATGGTTTCATATATCAAAAAAAGAAACTGTAGTGAGTTATTGAAGACGACGACTATTACTACTAATAAAACTATTACGACGACAGTTATTTCCGGTCGGTTTTAATGTTGATTACTTTGTCAGATTAAGCAATTTTGCCTAGTTTTGTGTGTATATGCCAGAATACACATTGCATCGCAACCAATTATCACAACCAAATTTTCTCCATTGTGTGTTTGTGTGTTTTCTGAAAAAAAAAAAAAACTGTAGAAAACAGCACTTTTGGATTTCTCTGAAGCACTTTGGAGGAGCCTTCAAATATACATTCATATGAAAACTCACTGGACTGCCACAAATGGAAATATATGGGAAAGACAGCATTGCTATAGTGAATGAGAACATAATGAGTAATTTGTTAGCTTGCATGCTAATTCCAGTACTCACCAAGCTGCTAATATAACTTAAATTATATCATTTATATGTTAAAAAAAAAAAAAAAGTATTGCTAAGTTACACTAATGGAAGTTATTGTGTGCTGTCTGCAAGTGGTGTGTGTTATTGGAATACCCATCTTTTGAGTAATATTTGTGTTTTTAAGATAAATAAAATAAGAGAAATGTGTTATTTAATTATTTATGTTATATATTGTTCTGCTTTTGGGCGATGCGGTGGCGCAGTGGGTAGCGCTGTCACCTCACAGCAAGAAAGTCGATGGTTCGAGCCTCAGTTGGGCCAGTTGGCATTTCTGTGTGGAGTTTGCACGTTCTCTCTGCGTTCACGTGGGTTTCCTCCGGGTGCTCCGGTTTCCCCCACAGTCCAAAGAAATGTGGTTCAGGTGAATTGGGTAGGCTAAAATTGTCCGTGGTGTATGTGTGTGATTTATTGTGTATGGATGTTTCCCAGTGATGGGTTGCAGCTGAAAGGGCACACTGCAAAAATGCTTTTCTTACTAAGGTTTTTGTCTTGTTTCTGGTCCAAATATCTAAAATCAAGATTTTTCTAGACAAGCAAAACATATTGTCTTGTTTTAAGAAATAATAAGTTGGATAAGTTGGCGGTTCATTCCGCTGTGTAAAACCCAGATTAATAAAGAGACTAAGCCGAAAAGAAAGTGAATGAATGAATGTTCTGCTTTTGCTTGTTCTCTATTTTTTTCCCTTTTTTTTCTCTATCCTGTTATTTGAGCCCATGAATACATGAATCTGTTATGTTTCTCTATCTGTTATTACCAGGGCACATTTTCATTTTCAATTTAAGCATATCTTTGTAGCTCGTATTTTTGACCTCTTTCTCTTTCTGCCAAAACTGATAATGCCATTTCATGGCACCAAATTTTGCATCGTTTTTTTCAGTTGTTCATTTGTTTGTTTTATTAATTCATTCATTAATCTTCATTAATTTTAGACATGGCATATACCATATGCTGTACAATAAAAGTATGTGAAAAATAACTGAAAATTAAATAAAATTTATATGAAATGTGTTTTAAACTATATATAGTGATTTTTATTTGGTTTGCACATGTACTTGCTGAATTATTTCAAGGAATAAATTAATTAAATGAATTAAAACCACATTATTTCATTCACCAGAAACAAAAATATAGCTCTTATTTTTGACCTTTTTCTCTTTCTGCCAAAACTGATAATGCCATTTCATGGCACCAAATTTTGCATCAGTTTTTTCTATCTCAAAATGATGTACTGTAGTTTAAAAGTAAGTGCTGAGGTCCACCCTATTTCACAAAGATCCACTTATTTTAAAATGTCTGTCCTTGAGACACAGCTGTGATTACTATACTTTCCTGTTAAAGTCAGTGTTTAATGAAATTCTTTGTACTGTTCTTTACAGACCAGTATGGGAAGACTGCTAATGAATAAATATAAACAGCTGTAAAACACTAACAAAATAAATAAGTCAAGCTTATTATCTCCTAGGTTTATAAAGTATGTGCATTTTATTACGCAGGTGAAGGATGCCTATAGCTTCGGGAACGTCATTGAGGAGAGACAACAGGGAATGTTGTCCCGAACACTGATGAGGAGGGTCCCTGAGGGTCTCTATTTCATAATGCAACTCACTGCACCTGGGCAAGTGTGGACCGACACATAACTTTGTACCGGGTCGGCTGAATTTCAGCGACGGCCCCGCCTGGCATTACCGGCAGTGGCTGTTTTAAACTAGGCCACATATTCCCTCTCCTCTCCTCTCCTCTCCTCATGCAATGCAACCTACTAAACCAGTCAAGCATAGAGACCCAATAAAACTTCTTCACTCTTCCTCTTTCTCCTGTCTTTCCCTTCTCACTCCTCTCATCTTCTCTTTTCTCTCAGCAGACCCTTGTTAATTGTATTGATCCTGATCTCCACAGACACTGTCCGCGAGTGACCTTACTCTAGTGGATTACATCAGAATTACAGCCCGACTCCACATGAAGTGGACGCATCCGCTGGGCTTATACCTCATATGAAAGAGCGCTGATCGGCCTGCAGTAATTGAATGTGCCCCAGGGGTGCTCTGAACCGCCCCATAAAGGGCCTGGCGCTGGAAATCAGCACACCCTGGTGCATGTATAGGGTTGCTAGGCGACATTTAGCCTTTATCAAAGACTGCCAGCAAACCAAATCATCAACATCTCCTTAACATCGGCTGGGCCATTTACAACACTTGTCTGATACATGAAATCATGCGCATATTAATGCAAATAACACACTTACTGTATATGGATGAATGTGGGTCAATTTGTATTTAATGATTTCTCTCTTATGAGGAAAGTGTACAATGAAGGAGCAAAGGTTGAATGTTAACCTGAATGTTAATATACACAATACTGCTTTCTACAGGATGAACTAGGGTATTGCAATTAAGATCACATCCACATCTTGTGGCTTTTTTATTTTTATTTTTGAATGAATACTCAGTTTCTATCTTTATTTCTCTTTGCAGATCAGTATATTTATGACTCATCTCTCCAACTATGGGAACGACCGCTTGGGATTATATACGTTCACTAATCTGGCAAACTTCCTGAAATGCTGGACCAACCTGAGGCTGCACACACTTCCTCCACTGCAGCTCGCGCACAAGTACTTCACACTCTTTCCGGAGCAGAGAAACCCGCTGTGGCAGGTCAGTCATGATTGAGAGACACTAAATGTCTTTCGACCATATTCACTATTTTATGTTAAAAGGGACCTATTGTGCAAAAAACACTTTTACAAGCAATTTAAGTACAGTTATGTGGCAACAGTCTGTGCATATAACCAGCTTCTAATGGTAAATATGTATTAATAAAAAAAAATTTATAATCACACTTTATAAAAACAGTCTGCAGAAACATCAAAGTCCCATTTCCATTAGTTATGATCTCTCCCTCATTAGCATATGACTTTTTGTTTTTGAATCTGCCACTATGCTGGCACATAGGCATTTGTAGCGCCACTTTTTTGTAAAACAGGGCTAGGAGCCCAATCTCTTTTGAATTTAAAGCAGTTGCCAAAACTACATAAATAGGATCAAAGCCTAAAAGGGGCAGTGTTAAAGAGTTATAAACATTGTCTGTGGGGTTTTCTTAGCTGAAACTTTATATACACACTGTAACACACACTAGGGTCATCAGAGACTTATTTTGCATCTTGTAAAAAGGGTTATAATAGGTCTATTTTAAATCAGATTGACATTTCCTGATTTTTTTTTTACCTTCCAATAGAATCATTTAAGGAAACTAAAATGACAAGTTTAATTATATTTCCACTAAATGCTGGTCTTTTAAATGTTGTTAAATGATTTTGAAAATAGGCGAGCGATGACGCAGTGGGTAGTGCGTTTGCCTCACAGCACTGGTTCAAGCCTTGGCTGGGTCAAGTGACATTTCTGTGTGGAGTTTGCATGTTCTCCTCATGTCCGCATGGGTTTCTTCCGGGGGCTCCGGTTTCCCTTACAAGTTCAAAGACATGTAGTACAGGCAAATTGAGTATGCTAAAATTGACCGTACTGTATGAGTGTGTGTGTGAATGAGTGTGTATGGATGTTTTCCAGTAATAGGTTTTGGCTGGAAGTACATACACTGTGTAAAACATATGCTGGATAAGTGAGTGGTTCATTCCACTGTGGCGACCCCAGATTAATAAAGGAACTTAGCCGAAAAACAAAATGAATGATCTTAAATAAATGCATACAAAAATATTGTATATAAATTAAACAGCACAACTATTTAAAAAATTTTTAAAGATAGTAAACATTTCTTAAGCACCAAATCAGAATCAGAATAATTTCTGAAAAGTCATGTGACATTGTAGAACTGGAGTGACAATGCCGTAAATTCAGCCTTACCATCACAGAAATACATTGCATTTTAAAATTTGTTCAATAGAAATGTATTTAAAATTGTAATAATATTTCATAATGTTACCTTTATTGTACTTTTTTGGGGTGTCATGGTGGTGCAAGGGGTATCACAATTGCTTCACAGCAAGAAGGTTGCTGGTTCGAGCCCCGACTGGGTCAGTTGGCATTTCTGTGTGGACTCACAGTGTTTGCGTGGGTTTCCTCCAGCTGCTTCAGTTTCTCTAACAAGTCTAAAGACATGCATTGTAAGTGAATTGAATAAGCTAAATTGTCCATAGTGTATGTATGTGTATGCAAGAGTATATGAGTGTTTCCCAGTGATGGGTTTCAGCTAGAAAGGTACTACTGATTAATAAATAAATTAATAGTGAATAAATGAATGTATTTTTTTGATAACAGAAATGCAGCTTTGGTGAACCAAAGAGAATTATTTTTAAATGTACAGTTGAAGTCAGAATTATTAGCCCCCTTTGAATTTTTTTTTTTTATATATATATATTTTCCAAATTTTGTTTAATAGAGCAAGGACATTTTCACAGTATGTCTGATAATATTTTTTCTTCTAGAGAAAGTCTTATTTGTTTTATGTCGGTTAGAATAAAAGCAGTTTTACATTTAAAAAAAATAATTTAGGGACAAATTTATTAGCCCAATGACTTGCCTAACTACCCTAACCTGCCTAGTTTATCTAATTAACCTAGTTAAGCCTTTAAATTTCACTTTAGGCTGTATAGAAGTGTCTAGAAAAGTATCTAGTATAGAAAAATATCTAGTAAAATATTATTTACTGTTATCATGGCAAAGATAAAATAAATTATTAGTTATTAGAAATGAATTATTAAAACTAGGGTTATTATGTTTAGAAAATGTGTTGAAAAAATATTATCTCGGTTAAACAGAAATTGGGAAAAAATAAACAGGGAGGGGGGCTAATAATTCTGACTTCAACTGTATATTTTATTTTATTTGTTTATTTTTATTGGTTTATTTCAACACAAAATGTTCTCAAAAATGGCAACAAATAAAAGCCATACTTCAGCAAACTGGTATGTTTGTAAAATGCCTGCTCTCTGCAGCCTGTAATCCATGTACAAAATTAGCATTGTACATGAGCCACTCCATGTGTCTCAAGAGGACACTGACCAATGAAAAGCCAGAAAATAAAAATATGACCTTTACAACTCCACACAGAGACAAACATGGAAGTATGTTGGTTTTGCACAATTATAGCGTGTTTGTTTTTCTTAAGCCATATTTGCAATTGCTCTTATTAATATATATTTTACAACTATGCTCAATAAAAGTGTTTAACAGCTGTTATGCTCATTTTTTAAATACATTCATATTAAGTTTTTTTAACATAAACTGCTTATCAAGTGTAAATTGAAGATTCTTACAGACGTCTGCAAGAACAGTTGCATTGCAGAAATACTATATGTCCAGAAAACCAATCCCGTCCAAACAGGGCATAAGAATAACCATTAATATCTGTCAAACGATCTCTGAAGATGAAGATCCATACACTGCAGTCATCCAGACCCTGACCTGTCCTCTATCTCTGCTCCTGTTTACAGATCACATATTGATTTGCTTAAACTTTATCCCTCAGCTCATTCACCATATTGTGTTCTAGAACCCATGCGATGACAAACGGCATAAGGACATCTGGTCCAAAGAGAAGACCTGCGACAGGCTGCCCAAATTCATGGTGGTCGGGCCTCAGAAGACAGGTAATTCTGTTGCTCTGTTACAGGAGCGTGTTTCTTCCCTCTTCTCCTTGGCGGAGCTTCAAAGCTCTGAGTGTGTGTTCACGTATCTTCTCGCTTCGCTGTTCCCCTTGATCCTGCTTCATATCTCACCTTGTGCTGCTAGAAATGATGAAAGTGCAACTACGGGCGTTCAGCTCTAGAGGAGAACAATACAGACGCATCCCAAGAGGCCTGAGGGGGGGTAGAAAAGGGAAAATACAAAGTGCTGTTTTGGGGCTGTAAGATTTTGATTGGTGTCAAGACACTGTCTTGTTAAACACTTCTCCTCTCTGCACTCATCTTCTTTCTTGCTATATCACAAACTCACAACACACACACACACACACACACACAAGGGAAAAAAATCCATAAGGTAAATGGCGTATTGATCCCATGTCTCTTAGTTTCTCGGTCTGTGGGCTGAGTCTCCCTGCCCGAAATGTTTCTCTTCAGCGCTATCAGCTACACATATAATTTCATCATTAGCAGGGGAAGGACTCGTTGATTTACTTCTCCACCTCTTTCTTTTCTTTCCGGCCCTGCTGCTCCCTCCGTTCATCTCTCTTTCTTTCTCTCTTTAGGCACGACGGCTCTCTACCTCTTCCTGATCATGCATCCCTTTATCTCCAGCAACTTCCCCAGTGTCAAAACATTTGAGGAGGTTCAGTTTTTCAACACCAACAACTACCATAAAGGCATCGACTGGTGGGTGTAAAAACACTTTGGTGCGGGTTTCACTTTGTCGTTTTGGGTGTAATATGCACTGGTGGAAATTACATGGATCATGAACAGGGCCTATAATTAATACTCCTCACCATGCATTAAATGCAAGTTTAATGGGTGTTGGTGAGTTATGAGGATGTGCTATTTGCAACATAGGTTCATTGGGAAAATGACGGCATTCTGTATTTAGCTTTTTGCTTGTATGGTGGCTCTGAACTATCAAAACACCTCTTAAAAATGCTTTTTCGGATGTGAAAAGCAGAAAGAAACCGAACACAGTTAGAAATTTTTTATGACGGCAAAAGTTTCAAAGGCAGTGTGTAAATACGATTCACACAACATGAGGTTGAATTTATTTTTTAGCGTGCGGAAATTGCGGACAAAAATTTCAAATTCAGTGTGCAATAATCTTAACTGGTTTGCTCTGTAGCTCACCACGAACAGTGCCAGACTTAAGAATTAAGGCAGAGCAGACCGGGGTTTCGAGTCGGTTGAAGAAAGGTTCTAGAAACCATGTAAAATGAAACCCAAAACAAGCAGAGTGAGATTGGAGTACATGGCCATGATTGCTTTTGTGTTCTAGTTTGCTATTATAAACACTATCGGTTGGTACTGTACATACTAGCTGATGTAAGATGCATATTATACAACGTTCTCTGATGGACATGCACGGGAAGAATGTTAATATGTACACTTGAAATGTGTCACAGTTACATGTACATATTTGAAATAGTCAAAATTGTACATGGTGCCCTCTACTGGACTTGTAAAATCAAAAACTGTCAAGAAGATTTGAGTCTCAGCTCTACCCCTTAGCCCTTACCCCTACCCCTATTTTTGTGTGTTCACGTGAAGGGATAGAGGTGTCCCAATTCTCTTCAGCTTAAAGATGTGGGTATAAGGGGAAGGGGTAGATACCCTTTGAAACTGAGATTTTTCAGGACCACACTCGAATGGTCAGAATTCCCAGAATACACCAGCAAGAACGGCAGCATGGCTGCACACGAAAGTAAGAAGATGTACAAATTAGGGTTTTTTTTTGTAATTATTATGAATTTTTACAACAAATAGGCTTATGTTTATCATTCATAACTACGTTCATGTTTTACCGTCATTCTTTAAAAAAACATGCTAAAATAAACGCTAAACTTCGCTTACTATAATTCCTAATAATAACTCCTGTATAGCACATTTTGTCACTCGATTACACTGGAATACCCTGTCAGAAAAGTCTAGTGGCTAGGAATGACATTTTTACAGTGTCTGCTATAATGTTAATGTTGTTTTTGTGTGTTTACATGGCATAATATGGCCACTGTGTAAATGCACAGTACAGTTGCGATCTTATTGCCACGTTATATTGTTATGATAACATGACAAATGCCTTCAGTGATTTCCTGAAGATAAATACCAAAAAAAAAAATAACGCAACTGGAATAACTACAGCAGTCGTGATCGTCAGATCTCATATGAAGTAAGAGATTGCGATGACATATGATGAATTGTGCAGATGCTGTAGTGGTGTCCTATTTCTTAGGGGTACATTTTTAAGCCCTTTCCCTTCACATTCTGTTTCAAGGGCCAAGGGAAGGGGTAAGGGTACAAAAATACTATTGGGACCAGGGAATTAGTCCAGGGTACATTTCTGTCGGATCATAAAAATGTAGTCCAAGCCACATATTTCCAATGAGCCTGGGTTGGTTATTTGCCAATCAGCTAGCAACTTCTTGTATTAAAGTTGGTTAGCTTTGGTTGAGACGGTGATTTGATATGATTTACTTTCTGATTACACAATGTTTTCAACCTGGGTAACAAAAAATAAACAAAAAATCTAAGGTTTAAAAACAGGATGTCGTGTATAAGAAATGTCCTGGTTTTTGTGAATGTCAGCAAGTCATTGACAATTTTTTTGTTTTGTTTATTTCTGTCTTTTCTAGTCTTTAAAAATAAAAATAATTAAAAATTAATTAATTAAAAAATAATTAATTAGTTAAATTTAAATTGTTTATAAAGTACAATATTAAAAAGAAAATTATAATCACACTGCACGTAAAAACAAATAATAGATGCAATCTGCCAATGGATTTAACAATAACGTCAAAGAACTCGTAATCTATGATGATTTTCAATCATGTAACATTGGGAAACAGACCACAACATTAAATTCAGTGGTATGGTCATTTGTTATGATCTACATAGGCTTATGATGCTTTTGGGCATTGGCAGGTGTAGCAGGTTAGTTGTAGACTCTGATTAGGAATATTAATTTGGTTGTGACAAATAATTTGACATAGTCTCACTTTGCTTTGATGAAGTATTCTGTTTAATATGTTGATTTGGGGATCAGACTGTATATATATAATCCAAGTCAACATTAAAATAGCACAAAGAATATTTTTTACATAAAGCAATCATGTAAAGAAAAGATCTATTTCTGTTTGAATTGCTATTCAGCTTAAGTACTTGTTGCATAATGATTCGAGGGAGCAATTATTCTTACTGACCCATTTAAGTGCTTAAGTGAACTTGTGGCATATTTAATTTGATAACTTCAATTCTGCATCTGCTGCTATTAAGCTCAAGCTTTTGTAGGTCAGCAGATTAATGTATGGATCAACAGCTGAAGAACTATTATAAATTGTTGGTCTAGTGATAATGTCTTCCTTAATACAGACAGTTACATGCATTAGTCTGCCCTATCATGACTCTTTTTTTTATAACTCTGCTAAATAATTTACTGCAAAATTTACAAAATATACATACTACTACTCCTAATATTTATAATGATAATAATAATAATAATAATAATTATTATTATTATTATTATTATTATTATTATTATTATTATTATTATTATTATTATTATATCTATGGGAGGTAGCACAATGACGCAGTGGGTAGCACAATCACCTCACAGCAAGAAGGTTGCTGGTTTGAGCCCCAGCTGGGTCAGTTGGCATTTCTGTGTGGAGTTTGCATGTGGGTTTCCCCTTAATAGAGACTAAGCCGAAAAGAAAATGAATGAATAAATGAATGAATGAATGGATAATAACTATACACACGTTTTTTTGGGAGAAAAATGTATTGTGGCAGTAAACTGAATTCGTTCCCTTGACTTATTAGTTTGTCTGATTCATTTGTTCCCTCATTTTGGTTCGTTGTGTTAATTAGTTCCCTTGTTTCAAATTAAATCATGGCTGCAATATAACTAAAACAAAGGAACCATTAGTACAGAGTGGCCACAATTTACACACAACAAGGGATTATTTTAACAAATTACAACAAACTAATAAACTGCACGAACTAATGTATAATTTGTGACTATAATTGCTTGTTTGCCCCAACCACACATCATGTCATTACTTTTTTGATGGTTAAACTACTGGGTATTTTTTTACCTATTTATTTTTTTATTTTTCTATCTTGTACATTTGTATTTGTCATTGACCCAGATATATTTCCGCCTCAAGCTAGGTCATAAAGTGTACAGGACAAAATCTGCTATGACAAAATGTCCCACAGTGAATGACACGTCTGCTTGTGTGTGCATTTGTCTTTGTGCGAGTTTCCTCTAACTCGATACACCTCTTTCTCAAAGGTATATGGAGTTCTTTCCAGTTCCATCTAATGTCAGCACTGATTTCCTGTTTGAGAAAAGCGCAAATTACTTTCCATCAGAGGAGACGCCCAAACGAGCCGCTGCTCTCCTTCCCAAAGCCAAGATCCTCACGCTGCTCATCAACCCTTCAGACCGGGCATACAGCTGGTACCAGGTACAACTGACCAATCACAGAGCACAAACTAGTCTGACTGGCTAATCAGAGGTCTATGTAGGTGGGTGAAAGAGGCTGCTGTACAGTAAAAGTCAGTGCGATTTTGCCTCAATTAATAAGTATGTAGACTGTTGCTTATTGATTTTGGTTTAGTAAGTGTTTTGAAGAAAAAAAGAATATGACTTTTAGTAAGGACACATTCAATTTGATCGTGAATACACATCAAAAGGGACAGTAAAATTATTTAACAACTATATTTTTACAACTATATTAATTATTAACAACTATATTTAAATTTCCACTAAAATATTAAACAGCACAACTTTATTTCAGCATAATACAATTATAAGAAATGTTTCATGAGCAGCAAATCTCGTCAAGAGTAATATTGCTGAAAATTCAGCTTTTTTAACCCGAAAATAATTGACATTTTTAAACTCTATTAAATTGTTCTTTCATGCTGTTTGTATTCATTTATTTTTGGTCCTACAGAATAGAATGAACCAACTCACTATCCATGTATTTTCAGGGTGAACATATATGCCATATTATCTGTGGCTGGATTTGCATAGACTAATGGTTGTAGGACATTTTAGATTTACTCTCAGGGTACTTTGATGTCATACAACAATCAGTCTGAGCAGCATCACTTGAATGAACACATCTAATGTATAGACATATTTGCATTTCTCTGTAAATCACACCTTAACACGGGTCACGATTGGTAGATTATACACAATGTCTGAGTGTTATTGTTCAAACTGCTTTTCAATTTTTACTGCAACTGCAAATTCACTTTTTAACTTCAGGTATAAATAGGGCTGGGCGATTTGGCCTAAAATCAAAATCTCGATTAATTGAACATTTTAACTCGATTAAGATTAATATACGATTATTTTGTCTTCATACTTCATTGACAAGTTTTTTACAGGAAACATGCTCACATATAACAAGTCTGAGATTTTTGAAGGAAGGGTGCATTACTTGATTTCAAAATCATTAAAGGAAGCACACATTATCTACTATCTATGATTATTTATTGAATATCAATGTTTAAAAATAACAGTCAGTTTTTTTCTCATAGAAAGTGAACATTAATAACTCGGACTTTTGGATACACAATTAATTATTTTCAATGTTTTTCAAATTAAAAGTAGAAAATAAGCAGTAACTCTTCTATTTGTGCAGTTTTCGCTTTCGTGCGCTTTTTCGCGTCTCGCACGCAAATCGGCCTTTCGGCCAATCCAGTCACCCTCCTCCTCCTCCTTCCCTAAACCCAAGCGACGATTTACAAAAGCCATCCAGAAAAGAAAAGCAAAAGCCCTTGTCTGATTTTAACCGCGTTTTCGGATTTTGCCGCATTCTCGCCCCGTTACAAACTCGTTCGCTTTTATTTTTTGGTTCTGTTTTTCATCTTACCTGATTTCTAGAACCGCTCTTCCCCGGACTCGATTGTCGCCGCAGCCGGCTCCTCCCCCTCTGGGTCTCCGCCCCGCCGACGTAACACTACGAGCTAAGCGGACAAGCTGGTTGCAGCGGGAAAGCCCTCCACACGGAGGTGAGCCGTCACAGACGGCGAGCGCAAAAAAGAGGAGCGGAGTCACACCGCCACGTAGAGTACGCTAGAAAAAACCAAATGCGGCCATACGTACCTCCGGCCACATAAATCGCGGTCTCCAGAAACGTCCACGGGGCTACGTTTTCAGAATGAGCTTGGGTTGCATATCTTGCATCTTCTGTAAAACAAATATTTTAAATCATTCATTCATTTTCTTGTCGGCTTAGTCCCTTTATTAATTTGGGGTCACCACAGCGGAATGAACCATCAACTTATCCAGCACGTTTTGTAAATAATGTAAATAATGTAATGTAAATAATAATTTGAATGTAATGAAAAATATGCCGTCTCAAGGCATCTCTGGCACAGCTTACATCAATTTAGTCAATTTAGTGTAAGTAAGGTTCAAGAATGGGTCCATCATCTTACATGACCAGACAGTATGTGGCTGCAAATTGGCCGCAGAAGAATAAATCAGCCTCAGATTTTAAAGGCAGATTTTTACATCTGCATCAAGTGATCGCTGTGGCCCACGGTGCTTGCCTTGCCTTGCATTGATACACTTCTGCGTGCTGTTTGTGTTGCTCAGCAATAACACTTCTAAAATGCTAGATGGCAGCAGTTTTATTTGTTCCTCTGTGTCGAGTTTCTTCACGTAGGTTTTGTTTTTCCTGAACACTACCTCAATGTACAAGAAGCTACATTAAGGCTCTTCGCACTACCCATGTGTGTCAACGCTACCAAAGCGACCAATCACAGAGCTTGCGCTACGTGTTTTCGCCATGTGTAGTTACATTTTTAAAAGGTGCGTGGATATGCAGCCGTGCAAAGGCTGCACTGGACAATACGCATGTTCTCGATATAAATCTGCCTTAACAGAGCATGGTCACGTGACTCCACACACAGTAGGGAAAATAGCTGATAAAATCGACCTGGGAAAATTAGATCCATTATAGGTTCTGAATAACAATTTAGATTATTTTACTACTAATCGCCCAGCCCTATTTATGCAAATTGGAAAACAAAGCCAAATACAGAAATGTATGTCCCTAAAAATGCAGCGCATAGTAATCCTATTTTTCAGAATCTTATTTTAAAATAGGCAGGAGTGGGTCTCTGGACTTTTTTAAGTTTTAATAACAATAAAAAATCTCTCTTTTTTCAACTTTTTTATGTTGCTGCTACAAGAGCTTCTGAGTTCGACTCAGAAAAATACATCACTAGTCAGACTTTTGAGTTACAAAAGCATCTTTTTTTAGAGCTCTTCAGTAATGCAGTAGTAATAATGTCTGTGAATATCCAGTATGAATGTTTTTGTATTATCTGCAGCTGTGAAGAGTGAAGCTGTCAATCAAATTCATCAGAATACATAAAACAATAATGTGATTGATGAGAATGAGAAAGAATATGCTGTGAAGCATGATTGAAATGCAGCTGAATAAAAAGAACAAAATAAACTAAATCTGTTTAGTGTAAAACACTCATCCAGACCTAAAGAGGGCAGTGTGTTTGATGCAGCGTTGGAATGCACATATTTTATTTTACAGTTTATAAATGTTATATATTTATGAATGAAATCATTCAGGTTTTCTGCATGCATAATGGTGTGCTCGTGAATTTCTGCTGGAAAAGCATGCACATGTTCATGTGCGATATTGAGGAGAGATTGAATACGTGTAAGTGTGAGTGAGAACATCACTGGGTGTAAACGTGAGGTAGAAATCTCATCAACAGCAGGCACAGGAGGGCACAGCATGACACTTCTACCACACATCACGACAATAGGAAAAGAAAAACATTTCATCTCTTCATCTCATCTCCTGTACTCAAAAAATAGTTTTACACATTAAATACAATTGAAACCTTCAACATTATCTCGCTTCTTGCACAGCTTCTTATCAAATAAACTAGGGGTGTCAAACTCATTTCAGGTTAAGGGCCGGATATTTATAACGCATGATTACCTTCTGTGAAATGTTAATTTGCACATAATTATGTTTTTATTAACCATAAAGACCTAAATTACAAGAAACATATTTCAGAAGCTTATTTTCTGACGATGGATGAGAAAGTTTGCAGTCATTCTAACTCTTCTCAAAGGTGTTCCATTGGGTTGAGGTCAGGACTCTGCTTTATACACTGGTGCACAGTCATGTTGGGACAGGAAAGGACCCTAAAAAACAACCCCACATTACAATCCCCCTCAATCAAACTTCACACTTAGGACAATGCAGTCAGGCAAGTACTGTTCTCCTGGCAACCACCAGACCCAGACTTGTCCATCAAAAGTGTAATTCGTCACTCCAGAGAACACATCCGCACTCTTAAGGGTCCAGCGACAGCAAGCTTACCTCACTTTGCATTGCACTTGATGTAAGGCTTGGATGCAGCTGCTCAAAACTACTGACCATGTATTTTAGTTGTGAGGAAATATCACGAATGGGCTTGGAATATGCACAGGTGGCCACTTATAACAGCTCCATGCTTGATTTCACTTGACTCATTTTTTCACGATTGTTTGTAGAAGCAGTCTGCCTGTCTAGGTGTTTGATTTTTGTGACCATAGAAATAGTTGGAACACTTGAATTCAATGATTTGGAGTGGTGTCCCAAAACTTGGCAAGAGAGTGTAGGCCTATATGTAGATAGATAAATGGTTTTAGTTTTTCACAATAATGATAATTAGACAATATTTTGTCATGGATAATATATAACAAATGTGACACTAAAGCTGTCAGCAGGTGACAGCAATTCCCCTGTCTTGATGAGTGATTAACTGACTTGTTATTCAAGGGATTCATTCAAAACACTTATTGGTTTAAAAACAAGGTATGTGACTATATTTATGAAGACATCATTGAACCATTTACTGGATGTCCATCACCCAGTTTTAATGTGACGTATGAGAAATGATTGATTTGAAATAATCCCTTCATTTGCAAAAAAAAATATTTAACTCACATGAGGTGGTTTTGGACAAATGAATGAAATGGAAACACATTTGGCAAATAAACTCTTGTAGTGCACAATTTGCCCACATGGTTGCATCATGCTTGCCTTGTTTACTGTTGGTTACTAAGTTACCAATACTACAGTCAGCCGCTCTAACAATTTGATGGAAATTCGCCTAAATTTGTCACATTTGCTTTTTGACAATGGTGACTCAGGAATTCTCAAACTAAACACAAGTTTATTTACAAAAACACTTACTACTAAGACTAGACCATGTAAACCATGGGCACGCAGGAAACATGGGATCTTGACAATGCAACACAGGACAATGGACTAAATAAACACAGGGATATTAATACACATGACACAATGGAACTGATTACAAACAGGGGTGAGACACAGGTGGAACCCATGAACATCAAGAAACAGAACAAAGGGATCACATGACACAAACAAGGCAATGGAGCACAGCACATGGGGAAGATCACATGACACAAACACAGGAGCCTGACAAATTTACATTTGGGATTTTTTCTCTGTTTTAAAACTTTTCTTTTTCTTTTTGTCTTTGCGTCATGTTAGAATGGAAGCCCAGCTACTCATTTAAATTTTCTTTTCAAAAACAAAAGAATTTAGGAACCAACACTGTAGTGCTGCTCTGGAAAAAAACACAAAATCTTCAGTTATGTTAGGAATTATAGTTGATGAAACTCAAGACTGTCTTCTAATGCAGTTATTTTTGCTGTTGTTGAACTGTTGCATAAAAGTAATGCTTTGAAAACATACAAAAGTAAATTGTGTATTTATGCAATTTCCCACAAAACCCAACATATCCAAAATACAACCACTTAATATAAGCTTACTGTAGTGATTCAGAATAAAGCAAACGCACATTTGTAGTTGCCGTTTTGAGCTTTTGGGTTTGAAATGGTTTTGCTGTCATCTGCAGCATCAGAGGGCTCATGAAGACCCAGCAGCTCTGCAGTTCAGTTTCTACGAGGTGATATCAGCAGATAATCAGGCTCCTCCTGAGCTGCGCTCTCTGCAGAACCGCTGTCTCATACCCGGACTCTACGCCACGCACCTAGAGAGATGGCTTACATACTACCCTCCAAACCAGGTAACACACACCTGCCTATGCTCTTGAATTACCTTTGTTAATGTATGTTATCAGAATCTGCTTTTACATTCAGTCTCTCTCTCTCTCTCTCTCTCTCTCTCTCTCTCTTTCTCTCTCTCTGTCTGTCTCTCTGTCTCTTCATGTAGCTGATGATTATTGATGGACAGCAGCTGAGAAATGACCCAGCTAAAGTGATGGACGAGCTTCAAAAATTTTTGGGTGTCACTCCATATTACAACTACTCCCAGGCGTTGACGTAAGGGCCACACGCACACACACACACACACACACACACACACACACACTACACTACACACACACTGTATGTTTTTTATTTAGTATCTCTCAGTAAATTGACATAACTATAAATTACTCTTAATTTCAAGCTTAAGTTTTTGTTAATTTTACCAGCCGATTTGAATGTTCTCACTTGAATGAATAGGCATTATTATCAGTGGTTATCATCTGGTAGATATGGGCCAGCACCTTTGGCGCCTACTGGTAAGCTCAGAAGGCTGTTATCATCATTCTATATAGTTAATCAGCTATAGATCACATATGGCTGTGGCCGGAAGTTAATGAGAATTATTTATATTATTTATTAAATTTCCTATTAATTGTGTTTTATTAACTAATACCCCTACCCCAACCCTAAACCCAACCATCACAATAATGTAAAAACAAATCTAGATCTGAAGTCTTCTCTATTAGAATAGTTGATTAACCATGTGGATGGATAATAACAGCCTTTTGAGCCTACAAGTAGTACAGTATCTTTCAATGGTTTGGGATTGGAGTTTTCATGTTTTTATTAGTGTTCTTGTGATTTTCAGCTGCCATTAGTTCAGTTTTACTCTCTCTTACTCTTATCATGAATCCATTCATCATTCATTCATTCGTTCATTTTCTTGTCGGCTTAGTCCCTTTATTTATCCGGGGTCGCTACAGCAGAATGAACCACCAACTTATCCAGCAAGTTTTTACGCAGCGGATGCCCTTCCAGCTGCAACCCATCTCTGGGAAACATCCACACATACAGACACACACTCATACACTACGGACAATTTAGCCTACGTCTGCTTCACCATATGGGGCAATAGGAAGTGTGTTTGGATAGAACTCAGAACTAAATTTAGAAATAGTTTTGAAACAAATCTTTGCACTTAAGAAACTAAATTAAATATGTAGGCTAATAGATGTCTTCAGTGGTGTGAGTTTCCACCGTTTTCTTACTACATGAAAGTAATGGAGTAAAGAGTAAAAGGAAAGTAAAGAGAAAGTAAAAATGGCAAATGGAGGAGGCTCGTTCTTTATTCTCGTGCTGCAGATGGTCTGTTTAACTGTTTTCTCGCTAGTGAACCATTCAGTTTTTCCACTTATAAAGTCCGCCATGTAAATAGTAAATGTGCCATGGCGCAAGGCAACTGATTCTTAAAGGGAATGGGAGATGAGACTCTGATTGGTTTAATGCACGTTATGGTCAAAACACAGCCTTAACTCATTAAAAGAATAAGCACAACACTGTTAGACCATGCGCCGGGGCTCAAACCTTATTTTTCCATCCTTAAAATAGCAAAAGTGGATTCGGTCATGCACTTAATGCTTTTGCGCCACGCACTTCAGACATCAAGCTTCGATTGTTAAAATAGAGCCAAATGTTTTTTATTTAATTTTTACATTTATTTTATTTGCAATGAATGGCAAGGCTTAATTCAGGAGTATTATTTCAATATGAAAATGTACTCATTACTGATCCTCAAGGGTATCCAATACTTTGTTTTACTTTTTGTTATTATTTTTGTTGGGGTTAAACACAAAAGTATTTTGAAGAATTTTTGTTACTGGTGGTCATTGACTTCCACGGTTGGAAAAACATAAGTCAATAAGTACTTTTTCCCCCCTACATTCTTTCAAAATATAATTTTCTGTTCAGCAGAAGAAAAAAAGTAATAAAGGACTAGTACCACTTGAGGTTTGACAGGAAGAGGGTGAGTAAATGATGACACAATTATCAGTTTTTTAGTTGAGCTATTTCTAACATTTATTAAGAAAGCTTAAATTATGCTATCTTAAAAAAATAAAAAAATAATTGCTTCATTAATATGTTTGTGTAATGTGTTTTTTTTTTTTTTTTTGTAGATTTTTTTTATCACTTTAGGAACATTTGGTTCCCACATGGATACACAAATGTGTCCATACACAGATTACCCAGATGGACAGAGGCTCATCCAAAGATGTGAAACAGGAGCAATGCTGCCATCCATGCTGTTAGACAATCAGTTGATAAAGCGAGCTCACAGATCCGTGTTCTCAGCGGTTGATTTCTGTATAATCTATACAGAGCTTGAATGAGATTAATTGTGATAATCTGGCTGTAGTCATTAGCACAGCATGAGAGCAAGAGGATTAACTTCATCTGGCCTCTCCAATTAAAAACAGCTCATTAGGCATCTGACACTTTCTGTGTTTAATTGCTCTTAAAGTGTCATTGTATATTCTCAAAATTTTGAAAACATAAAGAAAAGTGAGGGAAGGAGGGAATGCTGTGCAGTATAATTTGCAAAAGTGTCATTCAGTGTCATACAGTGCTTATGAATAACTGAAAATACACCTGTCAGAGGACAAGGCCACGCCTTCTCATGAATGATATTTCAAAATGAACACTTGGCATGTTCAGTCATGTTTAAAGTGCAAGCGAGCTCCAACTTGTCTAAAAGAAAACATATTTAGAAACACATCTTCTAACAGAGAAGTGAAGTGTTGTTATTTTTTCTTTTCTCCAGAACACCATGTGGTAACACATATATGTGGAATATTTCTCACATTATAGGGATAGTTTATCCAAAACTGAAAATTCTGCCATTGTTTATTCATCCTTCCCTTGTTCCAAACCAGCCTGAGTTTCTTTCTTCTGTTGAACACAAAAAATATATATATATATATTTTGAAGAAAGCTGGAAATCTGTAATTTGAATCTGTAAACATCAGTCCTCATCTTGCTGGATTTGTCAGCTGCTTTTGACATTGTAAACCACCAGATCCTGCTATCTACGCTTGAGTCACTGGGCGTTGCGGGCACTGTTATACAATGGTTCAGATCTTACCTCTCTGACAGGTCATTCAGGGTGTCTTGGAGGGGAGAGGTGTCCAACCTACAGCATCTAAACACAGGGGTACCTCAAGGCTCTGTTCTTGGGCCACTTCTCTTCTCCATCTACACGACATCTCTAGGACCAGTCATCCAAAAACATGGATTTTCCTACCACTGCTATGCTGATGATACCCAGCTATACCTCTCTTTTCATCCTGATGATCCCTCGGTTCCGGCTCGCATCTCAGCCTGCCTGTCGGACATTTCACACTGGATGAAAGATCATCATCTTCAGCTTAACCTCGCAAAAATGGAAATGCTTGTAGTTTCTGCCAACCCGACTCTACACCATAACTTTTCAATCCCGATGGATGGGGTAAACATTACTGCATCCAAAATGGTGAAAAGCCTGGGAGTAACGATTGATGACTAACTAAACTTCTCTGACCACATTTCTAGAACTGCTCGATCGTGCAGATTCGCACTCTATAACATCAGAAAGATCCGACCCTTCCTATCTGAACATGCAGCTCAACTCCTTGTTCAAGCTCTTGTTCTCTCCAGACTGGATTACTGCAACTCTCTACTAGCTGGGCTTCCAGCTAACTCTATCAAGCCTCTTCAGCTGCTCCAGAATGTATCAGCACGAGTGGTCTTTAATGAACCCAAAAGAGCACATGTCACTCCGCTGCTCATCTGTTTGCACTGGCTGCCAGTTGCTGCTCACATCAAATTCAAAGCTCTGATGTTTGCCTACAAAGCGACTTCTGGCTTTGCTCCTTCTTATCTGCTCTCACTGCTGCAGATCTATGTGCCCTCCAGAAACTTGCATTCTGTGAATGAACGTCGGCTCGTGGTTCCATCCCAAAGAGGGAAGAAATCCCGAACGCTCACGTTCAATCTGCCCAGTTGGTGGAATGAACTCCCTAACTGCATCAGAACGGCAGAGTTACTCGCTGTTTTCAAGGAACGACTAAAAACTCAACTATTTAGTCTCCACTTCACTTCCTAATCTGCAATTGCCTCTCTGGATATACCACTAACTGTACTCAAAAAAAAATTACTAATGCTTTCCTTCTTAGACTTTACAGACCTGAAACTTGCCTATAGCACTCATCATTGTTGCTCTTATAGTTGTTTAAATTGCTTCCTTGTCCTCATTTGTAAGTCGCTTTGGATAAAAGCGTCTGCTAAATGACTAAATGTATATGTAAATGTAAATCAGTAATTGATTATCCTACTGTGGGAGTCAATGGTTACAGGTTATTGGCTTTCTTTAAAATATCTTCTTTATTCTTTAAGCAAATGAAATAACTCATGAATGTTTGGAACCACTTGAGGGAGAGTAAATGGGGAAAACATAGTCTATTGAGTGAAATACAGACAGAAGATTCTAAACTACACATTATAAATGGTCATAAAAAAGAAAAAAGATGTTTTTTGCAGGTATACACTCACCGTATTTTGGTTCATATTCACATGAGAGCATCACATAGTTGCTGCAGATTTGTCGGTTGCACATACATGATCCAAATCTCCCATTCTACCACATTCCAAAGTTGCTGTATTGGATTGAGATCTAGTGACTGTGGAGGCCGTTTGAGTACAGTGAACTGATTGTCATGTTCAAGAAACCAGTCTGAGATGATTCACACTTCATGACATGGTGTGATATCCTGCTGGAAGTAGCCATCAAAATATGGGTACACTGTGGTCATAAAGGGATGGACATGGTCAGCAACAATACTCAGGTAGGCTGTGGCTTTGAAACAAAGCTCAATTGGTACTAATGGGCCCTAAGTGTGCCAATTAAGAAAATATTACCCACACCATTAGACCACCACCACCAGCTTGAACCGTTGATACAAGAGGGATCCATGCTTTCATGTTGTTGACGCCAAATTCTGACCCTCTCATCTTCATGTCGCAGCAGAAATCGAGACTCATCAGACCAGGCAACGCTTTTCCATTCTTCTATTGTTTAATTTTGGTGAATTATAGCCTCAGTTTCTTGTTCTTAGCTGACAGGAGTAGCACCCAGTGTGGTCTTTTGCTGATGCAGCCCATCCACTTCAAGGTTGGACGTGTTGTGCATTCAGAAATGCTCTTCTGCATAACTTGGTTGTAACGAGCGTATTTTTGAGTTGCTGTTATCTTTTTATCAGCTCCAACCAGTCTGGCCATTCTCCTCTGACCTCTGGCATCAACAAGGCATTTGCGTCCACAGAACTGCCGCTCACTGGATATTTTCTCTTTTTCAGACCATTCTCTGTAAACCCTAGAGATGGTTGTGGGTGAAAATCCCCCACATCAAAGTCACTTAAATCACCTTTCTTCCTCATTCTGATGCTCCGTTTGAACTACAGCAGATTGCCTTGTCCTTACATGCCTAAATTCATTGAGCTGCCATGTGATTGGCTGATTAGAAATTGTGTTAACGAGCTGTTGGACAGGTGTACCTAATAAAGTGGCCAGTGAGTGTATTTTATCTAACTTGGAATTGAAAAAAAAAGTGATTTATTTCAAACTACTAAAAAAAATCTATCAACTTTAAATTTTCTAATTTGTTCAGAATAAAAAGTTGATCAGAGATTAAGGTCCCACACTACTGTTTGAAATCAGAAGAAAACACGTACTGTATTGAATCACAAACTCCAGGCAAATGTTAATTGGTATTTTTTAGTGTTCAAAAATTGTTTTAACTTTGGAAGAGAAAGATCTACTTGAAAATCTCTAACTGCAATAATGCATACATTTTTGTGTTTATTACATTTTATATTTTTATAATGTAAAATACTGCATTGAAACTCTAAAGGCCAAAACTGCTTTGTGGTAAAAAAAAAATTATATAAATCGCAATAATAATTTTAAAATAAAGAAATGGTCGTGTCAGATTTTCATTCTACAACCCTTGATTTAAGAGGCCAAGAGATTGAACCCAGCATTACCTGTGGCCAGGTGTAGTCTATTTAAGTCAGTGTGTGTGTCTGTGTGTGTGCGTGTACATGTGTATGTGTGCACATTTGTGTGTGTGCGCATGTGTGTGTAAATGCTCTGTGTGTCTCTGCATGTGTTCTCCACCGCAGACAGCTCCATCAATCTTTAGCTTTTATTAATAACCTCCCTCTGTTTGAGTCTCTCTCACTTCATCTCGCCACACATCTCCCCTCTCTCTCTCTCTCTCATCATGCCCGTTTCTACTTTTTCTTGTTCTCTGTCACTTTCATTTACTATCACTTCTTTCCGTGGCTTTGCTTTCCTCATTTCATATTTTGTTTCAGTCTCTGTCTTTCAGCAATCTTCTTCTGCATTTCCTCTGCCTGTCATCAATCTTGTGCGTCATCTAGCAGTCGCTCTGCCTTTCTGTTGCTTACATCTCTTTAATGGCTGTTCCCTGTGTATTTTTGGCCTTGTTAAGCTCCAAAATAAAGTATTTAAACATTGATTTTACACTCTCCACTGGTTTATTTCATTTGACAGTAATACAGTTCAACAGTTAATGTCCAAGAATTAGGCCATCTTTAAAATGCTGGGCTGTTTTAAACCAAATTTGAGTAAAATGTGGACAAACCCAAAAACCCAGTGGTCCAATCTGTGCATATTTTACCCACATTTTTAAAGTAGTCTCTTTGAAATTGGAGGTACGGTAGCTCAGTGGTTAGCACTATCACATGACAGCAAGAAGGTCACTGGATCAAGTCCCAACTAGGCCAGTTGGCATTTCTGTGTGGAGTTTGCTTGTTGGCGTGGGTTTCCTCCAGGTGCTCGGGTTTCCCCCGCAGTCCAAAGACGTGGTACAGTTGAATTAGATTAACTAAATTGGCTGTATAGTGTATGAAGGTGTGTGAATGGGTGTGTATGGGTGTTTCCCAGTACTGGGTTGTGGCTGGAATAGTATACGCTGTGTAAAACATGTGATTGAATAGTTGGCGGTTCATTCCGCTGTGGTGACCTCTAAAAAGTCTCTATTTCAGACCGCCAACTAAACCTGTTTCACACCACAAGTGTGAGCAGAGCATGAGCAGCATATGTTTTTTCAGCGTCCATGTTAACAGATAGAGCTTTCCTACTGCATGCATAGGTAGTATGTCAGCGCGAGGCGTGAGCGTCGCTAAAGCAGCAGTGCCTCTATAGTTTGGGCACTGGATCTATTTTTGCGGCGATGCTCATGCTCAATTAAAGTGACAGTGCTTTGATAATGATCAAAAACACATGGAATGACAGTTAAAAGTAGCGACTTTACCCAATAAATGCATCAATAATATCCACAGATTTTTATATATTCAATCAAATGAATGATTTGATTAAACAATTAAAAACGGCAACAAATATTTATTAGAGCCCGAACTACAAAACCAAATTTAAAACAATTACAATTACACACTAGTTAGATTATGTATTAATATCATTATAACTGTTGTATAAATATTATTCTAACTATAGGTCTACATCACTCTGACAATTAAAAACAAAATTACATGATATCACAGATGATTGTCATCTGACCGGGCACCTTAAAATACCTGAATGACACTCATAGAGCATGAGAACCAAGTTCTTTTAGGATCTACATAATTTGTAAAATTGTAAAAAAATAAAATAAAATAAGTGTAGGTAGGTAGGTAGGTAGGTATGTAGACAAACAGACAGACAAACAGACAGAATAGACAGAGATAGATTGATCTGTGCAAAAACTGCTGATCCGCTGAGCACTGCTGACACATCTGGTGTGAAATGCAAACACATGTGCGCTGTTTCTGCTCTCCATACGCACTGCCCATACTCTGCTCATGCTTGCAGTGTGAAACAGGCATAAGCCAAAAGAAAATAAAAGAAATGAATGAATGAATGAATGAATGAATGAATGAATGAATGAATGAATGAATGAATGAATGTGTTTAAAACGATTCAGTTATGTTGAAATATAGCAGATATGTTTAATTTTTTATCCAACAATGTATTTATCCTAAATGCCCACAAATTAAATATTGAATATTGTTTTTGCATTTATTAGCAAAAAACAAATCTGAAATAATTCAATATTGAAATAGTTTTTCCTACAGTTTATGGATGTGTAAATAATGAGCTTGCATAATTTCGGCAGTGGCCTGCAGTCCTGCACTTTTTGAACTTTGTTCTCTTGGTCGTATGTACAAATAATCTGATTCTAATAACTATCTCTAATTTTAATATCAAGTATTCATATAGGGCATCTAAAAATAATAATAAGTATAAATAAATAATAAAAGTTTCAGACCAAAAGAATTATATCATAGATAAATAAATACACTCTCTTAGTTTTAAAATAAATCAACCCCAGGGATAGAAAAGAACTTGAAGTTGAAAAAAAGGCTTTGGTATTCTTTATTCTTTCTGTATTTTCTGGGACTAAGACTAAACAAGGAATATCTGAGAATGCTGTAGAGCCCGAAATAAGAAAAAAAGACAGTTAGACATAACAGAGAGAGAGAGAGCAAAAGACAGGAGTAAAGCAAAAATGTATTGTGCCACATATGTGTCGTGTAGTGTCATGTAAAACCTGCACAAAATTATATATATATATATATATATATATATATATATATATATATATATATATATATATATATATATATATATATATGTATTTTTTTTTTTTTGTTTGTTTTTTTAGCTTTTAGAGATTTGTTATGCGTTTTAATCCTTATCAAACCAGGCCATGTCTCATCTGACAGACAGACAAGGTTACACCAGACATCTGTCCGTCAGACAAGTGTTTTTGAGTGTTGGTGTGTGTGTACACGCGCGTGTGTGTCTGTGTGGATGGGATTGGACTTGATGGATGGATGAGTTGAGTTGAGTTGAGTTGAGTTGGGTTGGGTTGGGTTGGATTGGACTGGATAGATAGATGGATGGATGGATGGATGGATGGATGGATGGATGGATGAGTTGGGTTGGATTGGATTGGATTGGATGGATGGATGGATGGATGGATGGATGGATGGATGGATGGATGGAGGGAGGGATGGATAGATGGATTAGACTGGATAGATGGATGAGTTGGGTTGGACTGGATGGATGGATGGATGGATGGATGGATGGATGGATGGATGGATGGATGGATGGATGGATGGATGGATGAATGGATGGATGGATGGATGGGTGGATGGATGGATAGATTGGACATGAATGATGGATGGATGGATGGATGGATGGATGGATGGATGGATGGAAGGATGGATGGATGGATGGGTGAGTGGACTTGATGGATGGGTGAGTGGATGGATGATTTGGGTTGGACTGGATGGATGGATGGATGGATGGACAGATAAATTGGACTTGATGGATGGATGGATGGATGGATGGATGGATGGATGGATGGATGGATGGATGGATGGATGGATGGATGGATTGATGGATTGGACTTGGTTGATTGATGGACTGGACTAGATGGATGGATGGATGGATGGATTGTACATGGATGGATTGAACTTGATGGATGGATGAATGGATGGATGGACTTGTTGGATAGATGATTGAGTTGGGTTGGGTTGGGCTGAATGGATGGATGGATAGATTGGACTTGATGGATGGATGGGTAGATGAATGGATGGATTTGACTTGGTTGTTGGATGGATGGATGGATGGATGGATATATAGTGTATTGGAAACAGATTTTAAAAATCAAAGTAAAGAGTATAAAGAGCTTTCTGTTTGTTCACAGGTTTGATCCTCAGAAGGGCTTCTGGTGTCAGCTGTTGGAAGGCGGCAGAACTAAGTGTTTGGGGAAGAGCAAGGGCCGCAAATACTCACCCATGGACTCTGAGGTACCACCTAACAACAGTAAACTCTGAGCAAAATGGAGCCTTTAATCTTTAATGATTACCACTGCATTATCGAGGCCTGCCATCATTGAACATTATGGGTCACAGAGAGAGGGAGAACTCACTCTGACCTCAGCCTGATCAATTTTGCAGTAGATAACATGTCTGTAGAGCATGTGCTGAATAACTGATACCTACAAAACAGATTTCACTCCCGCTGCAGATTTCTGTTTTTCTTTCACTGTTTTCCACCTCACACCTAAAAAAAATAACTCAGATAGTTCTCCCAAAAAATATAAATCCTTATCTTTACTGATCCTCTTGTTAGTCCAGACTTGTATGACTTGCTTTTTTCTCCAGAACACAAAAGATGATGTCTCAGAGAATGTTTCTACTGTTGTTGTACATTGAAAGTCATTGGAGTTTGAAAGTCATGTATTGAAAACAACATGAGAATTACAGTTTTTTTGGATTGCTTAAGCACGATTTTCAAAACAGGGCCCGTATTTTCAAAACAGTACACACAATTAGCACAACCACACACCCAATTAGCAAAACACTACAGATCCTTTGCATAATTAAACACTCTTATAAAAACTTATGTTTATGTTTAAAAACCACACTTTTTTACCATAAGAAACACACATTTTCACATTTACCATACACTGTTTGCACGAGTTACACACTGCTGTGATAAACCTAAAACACTTTTAGCACTTCTACTTCCCTATGATTAGAGTAGGCTACCATCATCAAAGTACAAATATAAAGTAAATTCACCAAACACTACTCAAGAACAATGTTGCACCTTGAAGAAACTCATTAATTCCTCAACATGTCCAACATGTTGGCATGGAGATTCAAAGTACTGTAACATGTCACTTTACGTATTGAACTGTAAGTTAGACATTGTCTCTTCGCCTAGCTGGATCTGGCATGAGAATTATCAATTGCAATGTTGTCCTTAGTAAGACACCTTGGAAAGAAGTGTCTTGAATGTAGAATCACGTATTGCTGCTACCTCCATCTGGTCACAGGCCTCCTCCATGGCTTGGATGAGGGGTAACTCAGCTTGGAGACGAAGATCATATACTTTCCACCACTATGCCGAGAAAAACTCTTCTATAGGGTTGAGGAATGGAGAGTATGGTGGAAGATATAGGACGGTAAAATGTGGATGTTGCTAAAACCAGTTCTGAACCAGAGCAGAACGGTGGAAAGACACATTGTCCCAGACAACAATGTACTGGGTATGACCAATTTGATTTGCTGCTGTTATGTTGTGCAATTGGTCCAAGAATGTAAGTATATGTGCTGTGTTATACTGTAAGGGCCCATATGGGCATGGCAGTGGAGGACCCCATTCTTTGTAATGGCTGCACATGTGTTACTGTATATTTCCCCCACGTTGCCCTGGGACATTGACTATAGCCCTGTGGCCAATATTTCTTCTTCTCTGTGTTCTCGTCAGGTTGAACACACCATCATCTACGTAAATGAACTCATGCTGGATCTCCTCTCCATCCATTCGTAAAACTACCTGAAGAACAGTGTCAGGCAAAATTGTGTAGTTCAGTGTAGATCTAGTATTACAGTACAGTAAAAGATTATGAGACAGATTGCCAGATCACACTGCTAAATTGAATACATACCTCTGCATAATCATGCCACAGTCTTTTCACCCTTTCGAAATTGTGCTCTAAAGGCACTCCATAAATTTGCTTCATTTGAATATGTTTTTTTTTTTTTTTATGGTGTGTGCCAGTGTTGATATTGAGCCCTGATGGTTTTCATTGAAACTGGCATTTTACAGTGCTTAAACACCTGATTGTTGTGTCTACAATAAATCAAACAAGTGTTTGCACACCTGATGACTGTGTTGAACCAATTGGTCGGACGGTGCAGTAATTTGACAGTCCGTGCTTTGGTATTGCAATGAAGTGACTTCATGATAGATTTTAGTGTGTAATGTATGTTAAGTGTGTTTAGGGTTTTGAAAATCACTGTGTGTAGAGTTTTGCAACAAGTGTTAAGTTGACAATGTGCTTACAGTTGTGCAAATATGGGCTGATGTTTTGATACTTGTGTGTAAGGTTTTGCTAATAGTGTACTACTTTTAATTTTAGTGTGTAAGCAATCCTAAAAAACTGTAAAAGATTAGTTCACTCAATTTAATTTCTGTTATTAATTACTCACCCTCATTACATAACAATGTTCATCTAAGGAACACAAACTAAGACATTTAAGTTATCTCTAACAGTTCCTTCATCCTCCATAAACCCAGCCCCAAGACATTCAAAGTTCAGAAAAGGAATAGGTCAAAAAAAATGCACGTGTTTTCTCATGTGAGTCATTTAATTATTTTTTTTTTTACTTACAGTAGCTAGTAGTGAAGTGAACTGAATAGTGATTGTTCATATGATTTATGTTTGTAGCTACATGCTTTTATCGTTCATTACTGACATAACTTATATGGCACAAAATAATTAAAGAGCATTCAGAAATGTAATTTTCTCATTTTTGTTTGCATTATTACCATTAAATTACATCATGTTCCAGGAAACCACAATTGTGTGGTGGACATCGGTCACAGTAACTTTTACATCCTGGATTTGTTACGGGAATTATTCATTTACAAATTAAGCTGTGCTATGGCCAATACGATACTTTTGTGTTGCGCTTATGACTCTAATAGCAATACATTGTATTGCCTGTAGTAAGACATTGGTGGCAAAGTCATTTTAAAAAATGGTGTGCGAAAAAGTGTTCTTGGAGCTTCATATGATTACAGTTAAACCACTGAAGTCCTTTTCTTTGAACATCTTGGGACCATTGCTGTATATGGAAGGCCAGAGAGCTCTCTGCTTCCATGTAAAATGTATTAATTTGTGTTACAAAATTCAAAGAAGATCTCAGTATCTTGACACAACATGAGAGTGCGTAACTAATAACTTACTTATAATTTTTGGGTCAACTAACTCTTTAATGTGAATAAATTAAGGTGTTTTCTTTATTTTGCTCAGTGAAATATACTTTTATAAACGTTGTACATATTACAATCTAATTTCAGCGATTTTAATTTAATATCTTCCAATTTTAAGCTAAAAAAAATCAGAAATGTGAGATGTAAACTCAAAAATCAGACTGAATAATAGTATAAACTTGTTCTTTCATTTCTGAGAATATATTGTGCAAGTGTGACATTTTTTCTCAGAGTAAAGCTGCACAGCAGGTAACGACAGTTGTTAACGTGTGCAAAACCCATCGTGAAAAAGAGCTCGGTTTCACCCCTGTATTTTATACAATATTATATAGCTGTTCGGCTCACTAAACACAATTTCTGTTCTCTCTGTTTTCTGTTTCTAGTCACGAGCGTTTCTCTCCAGGTACTACAGGGATCAGAACATTGAATTATCTAAGCTGCTGCACAGACTGGGTCAACCGTTACCAGCCTGGCTCAGAGAAGAGCTCCAGAAGGTCAGGTAGCCCAAACCAAACCAGCGCCCCTCTGGGTCAAAGATCCAGCTTCACCCCTCAAAGGAAAAAGTGGTCAATTGAACAATACCTGCAAGGTCAAAAATTCAACCCACCAATCAATGGAAGCGGTGTGATCATCTAGTGTTTTTGGATGATCAAAAAGGTCGAATTTTGTGGGCGAGATACGGTGATGTTACTGTGACCCTTGAACTTCAAATGCAGCCAGACAAAATCTGCATAATGACTGAAAAGAAATAAAATATAAACCTCGACACACTTCCTGCTATATTTACTGTCGCTTCATCAGACACTGGATATAAAAGTATGGCTTTAGATTTTATACGTCATCATTGAGAGATTAAGAAGTGCACAACTACTGTTCATAACCTCACTCTTGCGAATATATCAGTCAATCAATCTATCAGCCAATCAAAGCAAAGATGCAAAGTGATATGAATCAACATGGAGAAATGAAGAGAGCAGTGAAGTTTGCTGCGTCAGATTTAAACCGGTCAATGGAGTGATGTCATTGTGATGTCAATGTCTCAGTCCACATCCCAATTACTGTTGTTAGATGATGAGCTGAAGAGAAATCATTTCAGTTTGTTGTGTGTGCTAGTGTGTGTGTGTGTGTGTGTGTGTGTGTGTGTGTGTGTGTGTGTGTGTGTGTGTGTGTGTGTGTTCGTGCGAATGGGCATATGTCTGTTGCCAGGTAGCCTTAGCCCCGCCCACTGGACTGCAACTGGTTGGCTGATGAATTTGAAGTGTGACTTTTATTTTTTAAAACAATTTGCCTCAATACAGTGAGAAAGTGCTTTGAGAAATATGTAAATAACTATATATATATTCAATAAACACTGGAGAGATTCATGTTTCTGTAAAGCAGTTCTTGCAAACTTCTGTCTCTGTGTTTAAAATGTACACGTATGATAATATACACATCGTTTTATGTAAAAAGAAATCTCTTAATTACCAGTTGGCTTTAGCTCATGATTTATAGGTGTTTTCGAATTATTTGCATTATTATATTACATTATTGCACTGTAAAACCCAAAAGGTTAAGGTAAAAAAACATTTGAGGAAACCGATTGCAACAAACCATTTAAGTTCAAAAACTAATCTTAATGAGCACTGTCAACTTAATCCATTTGAGTAAACGAAGCAAACTGAGCACAGTAAAACCCAATAAATGAAGATAACTCAAACCAACTGAGCACTGTAAAACCCAATAAGTTGAGTTAACTCAAACGGTTTGAGGAAAACGATTGCTACAAACCATTTGAGTAAAAAAAAAAACTAATCTATACGAGTACTGTGAACTTGAAGTAATGAGGTATTTAATTAACACTGAGTTCAAAACCCTTTTGAAATTAATACACTTTCAGTAAATTTTAATAACTACACTAATTTAATATGATAAAGTTGACTGTTGGGTTTTACAGTGTGGACCTTAATGTCTGCTCTGACAACTTCTGATATTGAAATTTCAGAGTGACTTTTAATGACATTTAGCATTTTGAAACTGTATATTGTATACAAATAATATATAAAGAAAAAAATCTGTATAATGTGTTGTTTCAAACTGTTAAAAATGTCAGAAGCCACTTTGTTAAAACTTTTTAACATGAAAACTCAGAGCAATACAGTAAACAGAAAACATCCATGAATCAGAAGTACAGGAAACGCTTTATATGTACGTGTGAATGCTCAAAACTATGTGATGACATCATTTACACACTGGCGTAGTCACCTTAATTAATATTGTTATCCTTACTTTATTAAGCAAGTATGAAGAATGGGGGTCTGATTATTAAGGTGAGTGCACAGGATCAAATACAGTAGGTCAATGCAGTTTTTAATGAAATACTTCCCTCTAGTGGTGATTTAAATGGCTAGCCACTGATTCATTTACATTTCAGGCCCAGTACTTTTGATCAAATCAAGTTTAAATACAACATAGTCCAAATCAAACTGGCTATGACATTTACTGGCATTTAATAAGTGTCACTGAAAGTCGATTACTGTACATGAGCATGCCCATGTCTCTAATACACTTGGGTATAGATATCAGCTCTCGGGTTACACTGTGTTGAAAGTCTGATATGACCTGTGGGCTGAGGTGCATGACAACAAAGAACAGATGCTGCATTACTGTAATTAAATACTTTTTTTTTTTTTTTTTTTTTGCATATTTCTACGTTCCTCAAGAATAGGCTACTAATCCAATAATACAATTTTACACCAAAAGCTTTACAAAAAATGATTCTGATTTATTTATTTTTAAGCAGAAGCGGAAAATGTTCTGTTTTTTAACAATATGATACCTAATGTGTAAATCAGGGGTCACCAACCCTGTTCCAGGAGAGCTACCTTCCTGCACATTACAGTTGCAACCCTGACTAAACACACCTGTTTTTAATTATCAAGTGCTGCTTTAGGTACTATTAATTGGTTCAGGTGTGTTTGAACAGGGTTGGGACTGAATTCTGCAGGAAGGTAGCTCTCCAGGAACAGGGTTGGTGACCCCTGGTGTAAATGATAATGTATTTTCCTTTTTTGTCATCTCCTATCACACTATTACAATTTGTAGATTGTAACTGCCAACTGTAACTTTTGCTTGAGTAGCTTTCTAATCCAACTGCTTTACTTTAGCATCGATAAAGATAAGTTACTTAGCCTACCGAAAGCTGCAGTCTGTAAGTTTGCCGCTGTATTGCAAACGGGGCCTCAGTTTGAAACAAAGTTGCTCTTAAATGCGAAATGTTCCTCTTTTTTGACGTGGCTTGTGCGTCGCTGCGGCTCCTCGGCGCGGATGAATCTAATGGAGCAAAACTGTGTTGGATCCTAATATTTAAAATAACTGTGTGGAGGTGAGGATGACATGTGGTGGAGCCATTGATGGTGAGTACTGCTCAAAAGAGAAAACTTTACGGTTATTGTGAATCAGGCTCAAGTAAGAACATCATTTTGAACACATGGCTGTTCATGTACTTGATCATACATTTTAATTAATTTTTACACATCCCCAAAAAGACTACAGCTTTCAATATGAGCAATATGAGAAACAATATTCAAATAAAACTAATATTTAAAACGGCAATATTAAAATAAACCCACTTCCATGGTTTATCACTATATGTATTCAACAATATCCACATGGTGTCGCTGTAACACCGCTCTCAGTCTCAATCACTGTAACTGATCTGTCAGGATTGATCTTTCACTCTCCAGAACAATGTCACTGTATGAAGAGTCTTCAGTTCCCCCGACAACTGCACAGCTACTCTTACAAACACATACTCACACTTGTGCTTTTTCATTATATACATATATATATATATATATATATATATATATATATATATATATATATATATATATATATATATATATATATATATATATTTTTTTTTTTTTTTTTTTTTTTTTATGGCTGTTTACATATATTATTTTAACAATTAGAATTTTATACATACATATGAAAACCAAAAAAAGTTATTTTGAAAAATTATGAAAACCTGTAACCATTGACTTTCATTTTATATATATATATATATATATATATATATATATATATATATATATATATATATATATATATATATATATATATATATATATCTTCTTTTTTAATAGAATTAAGAAACTCATAAAGGTTTAAAACAAGTGAGGTGTGAATGACCACATCTTTTTCTTTTTTGGGTGAACACTGCCTTTAAGTACACACACACACACACACACACACACACAATGGTTTTGCAGGTACATAGTCAAGGGCTTTGGGAAAAGATTGTGCTAACAGAACTGTCAGACCACTGAGAGGATGCTGATTTACAAAACCTAAAGCTAACATTTCAGCCTAAGCAATTTAACAAGCAGCAATATTTACCTAACTTTTATCTGCCTGGAAAGAGCAAAGCATATCATTTTCAGAATCAATTTTACACTTGCCCAGTAGAATTGTGCAGTTTTATAGAATAGTTTTTAATTATTTACCCCCCCCCCCCCCCAAATATAACTGTGATATGACCATAAGGCAGCCTAAAGTATTATAGTCTAATGAAAAAAAGTAGAAGACAAACTAAAATGTTAACCCAATTGTGCAACCGTGCCCAAATTTGTAAAAAATTGTTTCATGCATATATCCTATATGAACATGTTTTCGATTTATTTTCTCCAGGTTTTTGATTAATTATTTTATTTTATTTTTTCAAGAAAATCAAATTTGAATATAGCAACTATTGCCGGTGGACAAATATGTAGTAAGCAATGTTTAATGTAAAAATTGAATAGGAAGAGAAACACACAGTAGTTTCCCCAACAAAGTCCTGTGTGTCAAAAAGATAAAAGAAAAAGTTAATAATTATAATTATTTCAATATTATTTTTAATAAATTATATTTAATAATATAATTATAATTATTTCAGTCAATTATTGCAGTATTGAAATTTATTTTCATTTTTTATTTAACATTTTTTCTTAGTTTTCTATAAAACACAGACCCTGTTGCTTTTCAAAATCTTCACCTTGAAAAGAGTTTTTAAAAATGAGGGTTTTAGTGACCTGATACTGCATTTGTGTATGGACAAATCATGTAGAAAAAGCAGCAATTTTGACACCCATGTGTGTGTAGACCGCAGGGCTTAAGGTTGTGCCTGAATTCTATTGTAGTTTTGTGATTTTCTTCAGTAATTTTGCTTTTTACAGCAGGAGTTGATTGTTCTCTGTTTTATTTTAAATCATTGTCGCAGTCGGACCAGTAGGAGAAGTAAATTTTACTCGGACGTTTTGCTGTGTATCAAATTGTTAAAAAGTCTAAAGTAAAGATAAAAAATTAAAGATATTAGTTAATGGGTTATTATTAAGCACAAAAAAAGAAGGCAAGAAAAAAAGAAAACATGGCAAAACCCTTTTTTTTTTTTTTACTTATTAACATAATATTTCCTAATTCGCCATTATTTATGTGCTTACAAGTTATTTGCCCACCGGAAACTATAATTGCCACTTGACCATTTGACCTTTACTTCAGCCAGATAATTTGGCTAAATGTTCAACATTAGCTTCAAAAGATTTTCCAATTTTAGCACAACATTTTTTATGTAGTAATAATATGGCATATAGTAAATCATTTTAATCTAGGACTCATATTTAAAATGACAGTACTTTATTCATGACTAACAAATGTTTAATGCTCAAAACTGAGGTTGTAAGACAATTGTACATACCTTAAGCTTTTATGACTACATTTTTCCAAATATTTAACAATGTTTGTTTTATTGATGACATTTCAGCTATCATTAATCACAAGCCACTTCATTTGACACTTTTTAAAGATAAAGATACAAGCTCCAAAAGTTCAGAAACATTTAAACATTCAGCAACAATAAAAACAGCAGAATTATTGACCATGTGTCAACAAATGAACACTCTTTAACAGTTTTCACAGCACAGTCAATTAACAAGAGATTATATGATTGAATACTGATGTAGTAAAAAAACAAGAACTGTACAAAAATCTGAAAAAAAAAAAAAACTCAAATCAAAAACTACAACACCATAGTTTGTGCAAAATAACAGCTTGCGGTTGGTCTTTTTTTTTACACAGACCAATAATAGAAAGAATAAAAAGGCCGTACTAGTCTCTACGCTCATAAATCATGCTTATGATGGTTTATTATAGACACAGATCACAGAAAACATAAATTGAAGACCATTTATTATGCTAACATAAAGCGCTCTAATTAACACAGTCATAAAACAAAGTTGTTTAAAGAGTCTGCCATTGCACATAATTCCCATTTCCTTCTGGAAGAGAGTGTGACTGCAAAAATATTAGGCGGATGTACACTCACTAGCCACTTTTTTAGGTA